TGTTTGGACTGCCTCTATGGAGGTTCAAGGGCAGCAAGGCTATGAGCTAGAAGACAATTCTCCCATAATGTATTTTGCCTTCCCTTTGATGTTTAGCCAGATATACCTCTCGTACTTCACCTCACAATCTTCATCCTTCGTTAACTAAAATTTTGATTTGGATTGTCAAAATCTCACTTGCTCAAGGAAAGTGTAAATCTTTATCAAAATTTCCTAAGGGGCTTTCCTAGCTGGCTTTTGGAATTGACGGATGCTAATGTGCTTCTTTTCCCATCAATATACAGGAAAGGAAATAACGTATCAGTGACCAATTCAACAATAGTGGGGGTGTTTGGTAAACTGTCAAGAACCTTCAAAAGAAATAAATCATACCCTATTATCCTTCAGCCCACAAAGTTAAAACAGTTTTTGATTTCAATACAAAAAGCGAACACTTAACTGCTCCCCACAGATTTCGGTGTTTGAAGCTGGCCACGTTTCAATAAAATGTTGTTTAAAGAAAGAAAATATTGAGAAAATATACAGTAAGCTACATTCAAGCAACCTGAATCATATTCATCTGGTAGGAGGTAATAATTACAGACAGTCTGAAGCAAAATCCCAGTTTTAAACACTCCCAAACTAATTCATTTTGAAAATCTGAAGCAACAGAGACAACAGAAAGACCAACTTGTCTGCATCTAGGACAGACTCAGGATTAGGCAGTGGGTCACGTGCTGCACCCTGAGAACTCACACCAGCTGTGATGATACAGTCTGCACAGCTGAGATGTGCAATCCTGAGAAGATCTGGGATACAAGTTGTTTAACCAAGTCGACCTCTCTCCTGTGCTTCAGCATGGGATCAGCTGAGGTGGTTTTGTGGATGAAGGCAAGCTGCAATTATTAAAGCAGGGACAAATTGTGTTCTTCCAGCTTACACTAACTGCCATGACCTGTGGCAAAAAGCCCTGGGAAGTCTATCATACTTTTTCTTGAGCATAACAATTTAATGGATAAAACTAATGAGTAAGAAATAATGGTAGAAACTGCAAGTGGAAACCTGTCTACAACTCATTTCCAGTTAGGTTGTGAACATCCAAGTGACATGTTTAATACAGATGAGTTTGCAAACTTCCTTGGTAAACAAGCTGAAACCAAGCACTCTGCACCCATTACAAATATATATGCATGACAGTCATGTCTCTGGCTCTCAAAATAACAAATTTTATATAGTATTGCTGTGGCAGAAGATGTTTCTGGCTTTCCCAAGGGGCATGTTACAAAGGATCTCCAAGTGTCTTTAATGGATAGCAAAGGTGCTTTATGTCTAAGAAACAGCTGTATAACAATGAAGGATACTGCTAAGAACCAGGACAGTATGGCAAGGGCATAGCCTGGTTGCGAATGCAGGGACTGATTTATTGGTTGTAAGGTATGTATAGAAACGAAAAGAAAGATGAGCATGACTGACAGGAACTAGAAAGAGCTTCTCTGGTGTTTGGCTTACCAGAGTGGTCCACAGTGGAGCTGTGCCAGCATGATATACTGCTTAGTGAAACGGGACTTGTATGCATGTATACATGCATACATAAATAAAAAAGGATGCACTAAGAATATACCTGACTTGTTTCATTAATTTCTCAACTCACTGAAAAACAAACAAACGTGCAAGATCCTTAATGTAGCTACCCACTTACAACTAAATAGGTAATAAAACACCAGAAACAGGCTCCTGGGAAGTAAAAGATCATTTTCTTATTGATCTAACAAGGGAAATCAAACTTTAACTGGATTTCCTATAAGCATGGAGTAGAACAATCTAATTATGAAAAGCCCAAACCGGGTATGTATTGTTGGTGAACTGTACAATGAGCATCATTTATAAGCCCCAGGGAAACTGGGGCACTGTTGTGTTAGTTTGGTACTGTGCAAACACACAGGATGGTATTCACAGCACAAATTCCTAACCTGTCCCTCACAATCTCTATGTAGTCTGCCAGGACAAATCATTCAGCTCACAGCCCCTACCCAGCCCACACGTCTCCTGGCAGTGCAAACGTTATCTTGAGCATATAAAATAAGAATCTGTGTCTCTCGACTTCTCTAGGCCATTTCCTCTAAGTCACAAGTGGTTTGGGGAATGAACTCCGTGAAGAAACAGGCATTTCTTCAGGCCCAGACACAGCTAAAGTAAAAATATTTTGCATACATAGACTCCTTTCTGTTTAACTGACTAGGACATGTACCATATTCTCTCTTTCTTACCCCTCCCATAGCAATACAGAGATATCAATTCAAATAGATGGTTGACTGGTGTAGATGAGATACAATAAGCAAGAGATGAGGCATAGAAAATACATAATTTCTCAGAAAATAAGCTAAAAAGTAGACAGAAAGGAGTTTTACTTTTATTCTTCCACACAAGGATATTATCCAGCCAACTGGATGTTAACAATATCATAATCTGGAGGAAAACTACAATAAAAAGAGAGGCTGAGCACAAGCAAGGTGGGAACTGAAGACTGGAGAACACAAAACATGTTATGGTATCCCATTTGTCTTGTGATGGGAAGCCTGGCTAGAAAGGTCATGAAAAAGAAGCTATTCAACCCCTTTGTAACATAAACTGTTTTGTTAATCTATTCATTCTGGCAGTAAATTAATGCATCCTGTATGACTGAATGGTCTGGGGCCTTACTTATTATTACTGCCCATCCACTGAAAATTGCTGGTGTAACATAATCCTCTCCCCTGGCAGTGGGGGCATCAGCAGCGCTGCTGCTGCTGGGGTCACTCTTTCAGTCGTTGGCTTGGCATTCCCATTGTATAGCAGGTTGTGATCCATGGGATGATGTATTTGAACAGCCACGGAAAGCCCATGAGCCACAATGTTAAGCGGAGACATCCTCAGAGCAATTTGGAACAGCACATAAGATGTAGATTCCTCTGCTTGTCTCCCCTTGCAGCCTAAACCTGCTTGTGCTCGCATCAGAACAGTGTATAGCTTTAAGGCAAATTATATTATGAACTGAGATGTGGTTTTGGAGATTTGAGCCCTCTTCCATATGTGCAGTGGAAGTAAGGTGCCTTTAATTTTATTCCTGTGTATTTTCCAGCTGAGCTTTGCAGCAGAAAATACAGGATTAAACTGTTTCATGAACAATCACGAGGAAACAGGTGCTGAGAAAAACCAGAAACTCTGAATCTAACTTGGGTTTAAGAGAGTCAAATGATAAGCAGGGTCATTTTCTTGATGTGTCTGCAATTTTCAATCTCTATTTCTTTCGTATAATTGTCAAGTTCTAATTAACTCATACCAGTTTTTGCCCTCTATCATCAAAGAGAGGAAGGGAACAAGAACAGTGAAAGGGGAGGAGATATATTTTTGTGTGTGTGTGAAAAATTCGTGCCTTCAAGCAAACTGGCAGATTATGAGTGTGTTTACGTAGCTACCACTTCTGCAGAGAAGCGCTCATATTGAGTGCCAAAAATTGCCCACTAATTCCTCAACATCAGGAACTGGGGCTCTAATATTCCCTGTAGAATGATTTATCTCAGTGTGGGATCCCACAAACTCATCCTCTGTAAACTCAAAAGTTTGGTGCTCCTGGTTAATAGAGAGACTGCACAGTTTTTCTCTTTTCTGTACCTATAGCATCATCATTATTGTATTATCTATTTACATATCCAACTGAATTCCACCACGTTTTTAACCACAAGGGTTTCTCCTTTCACCCCTCCCCAGTTAAACAGATGGTTAGACTTATTTAGCAATTAAAATTAAGGTTTATTTACCCATTCCACCGGAGCAAGGTTAGAGCCGGTGCCGTATCATGTAGGCTTAAAGATTTTGCTAATTTACTTTAATCCACTTAAACCTTTAAAGCACAGATAATGGAAAACAGACAAGAAATCTCTTGCACTTTCCAAATTAAGAGACAAGAGTTTCCTCCTCTGTGAAGAAGAGTAAAGCTCTCTAGAAGAACCCTGAAAGGTCAGCAAGGAAGCCTTTGACTACTTTCTTCCTGGAAACCCTATCTCAAAGGTCACAAAACCACAACTAAATTGCCTTTAGCAAAGAACCTAACCAGAGACACATTGCAAGGTACTTAATTGCCTTTAGCAAAGAATGTAACTGGAGATGCATTGCAAAGCCTTAAATGGGAACCAAAATCGATATTTCAACATTTAGGAGGAAACTGGTTTTAGCAAGGACATTCAGCAGCTGATAATGCTGGCACACTGATCTTAACACACTAGTCTGGGGTGAATTGAGAAATGATGGTGGAACCAATATAATAATCTGACTGTTGTGTGGGTAAGGGGGCAGACTGGACAGACAGCAACTTAGGAGTACGTGTACACTCATGGAAAATCCAACTGGGATAAGGACAACAGAAATTCCATGTTGCAAAAGAACAGTAAAAAAATTGCCCACACTCGATAGGATGCTGCAACCCTCTCACATTCTTAAGACCTTGTCAAGTTAAATGCTCAGATGAATGCCAGAAAAACTACTAGCAAAAGTGATAAATGCATAACAAAAACAAACAAAAAAATCAACAAACAAAAAGGCAGCCACTCCCTGCAATTTTAAAACCATTTACTTCTCTTGCATTCAGGTATGTCCAAATGCTCTATCACTTTTCACTTACTGTCTGGATCCAGCCAGCCAGGTGAGGTTTTATAAGCATTACTGAACCCAGTTAGAGAAAAGGAAACTGAAACACAGTTTCAGTGTGGCACAAGATTATAGGAAGCCTACAGCAGAATTGGAAATGGAGTTTCTTAGACCAGTAGTCCCAAAACTGCCTGAATTAAGTGACTGCTGTGAAACCTCAGAGTTAAAACACTGTAAAGCATCAAAGGGAATACAATTCATTGGGCCACTTGCACTGGCCTTTGGATTGCAGGTGTGAGGAAAACAGCACAGACTAAACCACCATCCATAACAACACCAGGAAGGACTTCAAAATGGATCATCCTACTAGAACTTGAAACAGGAATAGAAGCTCTTACCTTCAAAAGCAATTGTGGGGTGTTCTTTCCTGACACATTGCTGATGTTCAGCTTCAGAGTATTCAGGTACATTCTGTGATGCTGAGAGATGAAAAGCAAGAAGAAAAAAGCTTGGCAATGACAGGGAGATGGCCTTTAATCTTGAAACAACCATGACTGAAGGGCGGCTGCAGATCTAGCTTCCAAGGTAGGCCCAGGGAGGATACCTGAAATGCAAATAATTCTGCTTTCAGAAAGATGAATGCTTATCCGAAGTGTGTAACACAAGTAGAGAAGGGTTCATCCCAACCCCACTTGTGCTAAGTACACAAGATATTATTCCACAAACACCATCTAAAAAAAATGACCCATTTTATAATTGTATTTGGGCTTCTAACTTCAGAGAGAATGGAAGTGCAGAGTTCCCTGAATATATATCTCTCTGTACCTTTGGGGTATATGTTCTTATACAGTAGCCAGTGTGCAATGGCCAGCACCAACAACATGAAATCTCAAATAATCCTGATATAAATGAGTCCCCCAATGTGGACACCTCACTCCTTGGTTTCATGATGTGTCCATGTTTAAATGTCATATTACATTCAAGAGATTGCTAAGGAAAGGCCAGCATCAGTCATTACCAGAACACATGTGCAATTAATACTGTTCTAATAGGAGGTTGGTACATTTTACCACTGCTGTTTTAAATGTCTTGAAACAAGAAAAGCCAATTAAAAGGTGTTGCCAGGAAAGTGCTAATTAAGGTAACATAAAAACTAAAAGAGCTTAATGGGGAGAATGGCGAGAAGTGAGTCAATTGCCTGCATTATCATGGGACGCTATAGCTCCCAGTCACAAGAGCTGAGGCACAGCTAAAGAGGAGGAGCACTCACACTCAGGCTAGAAGACGGGAAAGTCATGCCTTTTCTATGTGAGCAGTCTTTAACAATAGCTGCAGAAAAGATAGAGCTCTAAAAACTCCCCTGAGCCTACCAGGCCTGAGGCTGGGGATGGAGGATTAATTAGCCCATGCCACAAGCTCCCCAAGATGCCGCCGCAGCTTAAGAAAATCTGCATTGCCAAATTTAATCTTACTGATGTGCATATGTAACTTTGTTCAATTATTGCAAACATGTGTTTTCAAACAAATGGAGTCTCCTACCCTTAAATCTTATCTAGTGATAAAGCTTATTCTGGTTAAATTCACACATAATGAGATTTTCAGTTCCTGCGGATGTGGTGATTCCTAAAGGTAGTGTAACAGCCAACAGCTGCAGTGCCTGCTACCTCTATATTTTTCTTTGGAGTCTCTGAAACACCTTTGGTGGGCTGAAGTGGCCAGGCTGGAGGCTGGTAATATGAGGCACGGATACACAATGACAGGCTGTGGCATGAAGCAAACTCCAATATAGGGGACAATATTGTGATATCAAGGAGCTGGAAGAAGTTCGTGAAGGTTTTTGGGCATCATAGGAGCAACAAGGGACTGCTTACAGCAGCGATGGGAGACAGCTGGTTTGAAAGATGGATCCTATGTTTTATTCTTATCTATATTTCTCTGTGATTTTAAACACTAGCATAAAGATGAGTTGCCAGCGCATCCATTATGCGTGTCCTCAGCAGCAGCTACATACCATTGACTGAAAATAGCGTTGGCATTCAGGATTTGGGTTCTAGGGACTTGGTTTCCTAAATAGTGCGAGTGAGAGATGACAGCATTTCACATTTCTTCCAGACCCATATATATGTAGATTTTATGCAGGGATGCATAAAATCCCCTTCCAGTTCTCCAAAGGAGGCTCTACAGCGCTTCACTACAGAGGTGGGTTTTTTTAAATGTGGCAAATATCATGTTAAATTAAAAAATGGGACTGGCAGAAGTAAGAGATGTGAAATCATTCAAAGCTAAGGCCAGCACAGCATTTAGTCATTAAGCACATGCATGCTGCAGGGAGTACACAACTGGGTACTGTGGTAACTCAGATGATGGAGGTGTTGTGCAAGTCACACTGTAATGAAAATTACTGATGATGATGCATTGGGTTATGTTTCCAGCCATTGGTTTAAACGATCATTTTTGTCTGTACAGATCCAGAAGTAAAACACAGCACAGAGATGTGAACCACAGGGAGATGCATTTTGTTTAGCCCTCAGATCCACTAAAAGTTCCAGAAGAGACAAAAACAAACTTTCCTTAGATAGATGATGGTTGTGGGAAATGCACAAAAGACAAAAGGAATTCTTCACTGTCAGATATCTTTGCTGGAAACTGGAAGAGACAGTCATGGAAATCTCACTTTATGCATGCTGTACTCCTCCCAGTGCACCCATTACTGGCTAATCCTAGAAATAAGGTACTAAGACAGACTTTTGGTCTGAGCCAATACAGCCATTTTCATGTACTAGGCATCCAAACAATGATCTCAAGCTAGGTGAAAAATCAAAGACACACGGTAGGGTCACATGCTCCTCTAAGGTCCTATGTGGTCTAGAATCAGCAGATGAGTAAATTCAAGTTTCACACTCATCAGGGTCATGAAATGATAAAAAGTTGCATACAGGAAAGCTTCATAACATCCCACAGTCTATTCTGTGCCAAAGCAGAGTACATTTACTAGTGTTTTGTCTGGACTAGTTGTAAAATGTGCCAAGTAGCTGGATTTCTGCCACTTTCCCTGGGAGACTTTATCACAGTCCAAGAGACTTCAATGTTCCTTAGAAAGCTGTAACCAGTATTTGGGGTAAAGTTCCATCTTCTTTTTCCTTATTGTCATAGGGAAATCCAAAGTGTGCATGAAAATAATGGTTTCAAACTTGATGCAAAGTGGGAAGTAATATATGACCAAACAAAGATGAAGAAGAAACATTATAAAAAACTTGTATCCTTCCCTATGTACCCTATCTCCTACATCCAATTGTATCCGTTAAATATGTGGAGCTCTCATGTGCTGGGAAGTTGAATAAAATCAGTGTCATGTGCAGCCCTGAATTGGTGTCTGCTGGAGTCAATGAGTCAATGAGTAAATGCCAGCTTGATCAAGGGTGACAGAAACCGGAGCCCTAGAGCACCAGCTGAACAAGATTCAGACAGTGGATAGCATTGCAAAAGGTTATTCCTTCGACCTGCCCCTTCCCAGGCTGCCTTGCTCACTTTTTTCTCAATATTTTAAGAGAGACTCTAAATCAGTAATTGCTATTCCCAGCTGCTGCAGCTTTATTTCTGAAAAAAAAAACCAACTATACTACAAATACGAAGCAGTGCCATGTGCAAGAGGAGGTCAATTGTATGCCAAGAGCAAGCTAGTAAATGCCTGGGAGAATCCAGTGGCTAGTTTTGAAGTATAAATGCTTTAATTCTACTGGAGATGGCCAAACTCAAACCTCCAGTTTTGCCCAAGCTGCAGATTTGCACTGTGACAGCTGGAGTATGACCAGTGCTTAAGACCAGTCCTCATCCAAACTGCTAAAACAGTGCACATCCTAAGCACAGACAGGCTAGCGGTGGCTTGCACTGCTGGAGCTTGCCTGAGCGTTAAGCCATTTAGATACAGTTAAATGCTATAAAAAGAGCTGTTCTTATTAGACTCTCTGCTCAAAATGGCTTAGGGCTCAAGAAATCAGCTGTCAAGGTTTCAGTGCAGATGAGAGACAAGAGCTCAAATCCCTGGTTAAACTCAAATCTCAGACAGGATGTATCATTTCAATCTCTATTTGCTCATCTTGATGTATCTTTACCACCTTAGCTATTCCACCACACACACCCCCACTCCGCCTCCCATTGCCGACATGTTTAAAAAAAGGGATAAAAATATCCTGTAAGATTATCTGTCCAAGTTTATCTGTCCTCTCCCTCATGAAAGCCTGTCCTCTGTGCCTCTGCACAGCCCCAGTGATGGGGCATCTCTCTCCCTTCTCCTAGTCTGCACTGTGAATCCCTCTGGCCCTCTGCCAAAAAAAGGTCAACAAATTCAGGCTCCATTGGATCCAGTGAAATATGTTCCAGAGACAGGTATTTTGTAGAGCACCACTTCTGCCACCATCCTCTTGTCTCTTAAATCAGGCTCTCTTAGCTCATGGGGCCTCCCTGACTGTAGCAGCGGTGGCAGGGGACGGGCAAAGATCTGCTCCTTCTGGGTAAAGCAGGAGGTCTGCATGCTCCAGGCATCCCCGAAGCTGGGATTTGCAACCACAGCACCCATGTGAGCACAAACGTGCTGCCGCATGCCCATTTCTCACCCAGTCCCTTTCATGGCAGGGATAGGGACAGAATGTAATTCTGCTCTGCCTCGTGGCTTCACCCCCGCGCACAAGCGCAGCATTCAGGGGATCACCCACAGGCCCTCCCTTATTCATTCTCAGGGCATGAGTCTTTTCCAACTCACCCTGTATTGTATCATTGTAACTCCATTGATTTCACAGGAACTAATCCTGATTTACAGAGGGTAACTTAGATCAGGCCCCCTTTGACTAAAGCTCCACGTCTAAAGGAAAAATACCTTCAATCAATCTTCAGGGCTTTAAAACAAAGCACACTTTAAAAATGGCTGTACCAGGAATTCATATCCTGCTTTCCTCTGACTGTAACTACCATTTTGACTTAATAAAACGTGACAGTAAAGTTTAAGAATAAAAGAAAATGCTTCATCTTTCATTTTAAAGAAAAGAGACTAAAAAAGACTAAAAAGGAACCTCCTGTAATAGCATTATTTCTTATGTTCAGGATCTTTTGTGATTGGCACAGTTATGATTTTATCAGAATGGTATGCCAGAGGGAAGAAGAGCAGTGGAAAGAGGTGGACGTTGAAGTATTCAGAAAAGTACTGGAAGAATAAGGGAAATAAATATAAACATTATAAAGCAAGACAGCTCAGCAATGTGGCTATGACAGGCTGGCACAGGCAGCTCTGCCCTAGAAAACTCCAAGGCCAAGAAAACCACGGTCCTTTATTCATGTGCCACTCCTTGCCCTCCCCTTCCACCCTCACCAGCTGGAATTCGTCCCACCGGACTGGCTCCAAGGGCCATTTCACACTGTCGAAGAAAAGGCACAACTTCCCCCTCTGCCCCTGGCCACATCCATACACTCAGCCCTCAGCCATGCCTGAGTCGGGGAGATGGACCTGTCTCACAGCCAAAACATGGCACACTGCACTTGCAAGTCCACACATCAGATCT